ATCTGCAGCGATTTTCATGAAAAAAAAAGTAATATGCAGCAACACATTCACCTTATGATGTAACGATCTCTGGAAAATTCAGAAAATGACAAAAATTAATACGAATATTTGTATGAGTCCATTCAGTCACATTAATTTTCTCTCAGAAGTATTGATAAACTTGAATTAAACTGACTAGTGAATGAAATTTGCGATTGGAACTTATTAGTATCTGACATATTTGGTGGCTCCATATATTAATGTAAATGTTTTCTAAGATTCAACTTTAAAGAAGTTGGGGGGGGGGGGGTTGAACAATATATAACAATGTTCTTTCTTTTAGGGATTTCGGTTTGAATATAGTTCTTAATTAATTTTTGCGTAAAAGAGAAGTTTCAGGCTTAAGGATGTGTTACAAACTACATTTTTTTTATCATACTTTTCTGAAATATAGTAAGTCTTTATATAGTTTCTGCTAACTGTTTTTCTTTATGTTATCATGTATAACTTTCTTTACGTATAACATTATTTTAAACATGAAAATAACTAAAATTAAGTAATTGACGTGAAATTGAAAAACAAAATGTATATTATATGTTTGTCAACCTAACAACTCTTTAAAACAACCACCCAAAATTAGTCAAAACTGAATAAAAAGTAGTTATTACTTTCATGGTAAAGAGTTAAATAAAAAACCTAACAAAACAGTCAGAATTGTCAAAAGTATTTATCACTAGTATTTAATGGTGGAAAGTTGAATAAAAATATTTCAACAATATGGTAAAGATTTAAACTGAAAAAAAAATCATTACTATGGTATAGAATTAAAGGCAAATAAACTATAGATATCTTAGTAATTTGCCGGCTAGTAATGTGTCTAATCAATTTAATTAAATAAAGATTCAGGTGCGTGTTTGTTACATTCCATTTCGGTCAATTTTAAGGTAATAAACGTGATATATTTATTTATAATGATTTTTATCTAATAACTAATGTTGGTGCTAAGAAAAGATCCTTTGGTTTGGAATCTACAGAAAAGGATGTCAAAAAACGAGGCTAAACTTAACCAAGAAATGTTGGTGCTAAGAAAAGATCAAGCTCCTAGAACTGGAGCAAATTTGAGCCAATCTGAACCAAAAGGTCAAGAAGCAGGTTATGCTGTTCCTCAGCTTTTGGAAGAGCTTAAGGTCGAGATCTTCTGCAGAGTCTCATGCTTTGACTACTGGAAAATGCAATTTCTCAACAAACAGGTTATGCAATTGTTAAAGACCGGTGAGATTTTTAGGATGAGAAGAAAACATGGGCTTGTGAAACCATATGTGCTTATACATTCAGGCGGTGAAACTTGTTGGACCATGTTTGACAAAGATTTTGAGAATTTTGGGAAACTTCCAACAATTCCTTCTGATGATGGCTGTTTTTTTTATGGGGATAAGGAAACAATTAGTGCAGGTGCACAGTTAATAGTCATCGGAAGGGAGGTGGAGGGCATTGTGGTGTGGAGATACGAGCTAGAGAGCCATAAGTGGTTCAAAGGTCCTGCAATTATCACACCAAAGGTCATGTATGGTTCTGCGAGCCGTGGAACCGATGCTTTTTTTGCTGGAGGGATCAAAGTAGATGAAAATGGTATCTATGAGGTTGTAAACACATTGGAGAAGTACAATGCTGATACCAAAATGTGGACGGTGCTTCATGGGATGCATAAGAGAAGGAAATTTAGCTCTGGATGTTTCTTGCATGGCAAGTTTTACGTTGTCGGTGGCCGAGATGAGAATGATAAAAACCTAACTTGTGGAGAAAGATATGACGAGGTGACAAATTCTTGGGAGTTGATACCGAACATGCTCAAAGATATGACTCTCACATCTTCCCAATCGCCTCCTCTCATTGCAGTGGTCGACAACAATCTCTATTTGTTGGAAACATCTTTGAACGAGCTTTGTATTTATGATATAAACGCAAACGCTTGGAAGAAACTTGGTGTTTTACCTGTGAGAGCAAATGCTGCTTTAGGTTGGGGAGTTGCATTTAAGTCGATTGGGGATAGACTTTTGGTGATTGGACCTTCGTCTTCTCAATCTTGGCATAGGACAACAGCAGTTTACACATGTTGGTCCTTCTCCAGATGTGGAAGAGCAATTTTGGAAGGAATTAAAACATTTTCGCAACTGTGCCCATCTCCACCAGTTTATCCAAAACTGTTGCGTGATGTTTGCTTAAGTGTTTTCCTAAGAAGAACTTGGAAACATACTTTGTTTGTGTTTGCGTTTTTTTATGTTTGTGTTTATAATAAGTTTGCGGCGAGCTTAATGCCCAAACATAACTAATCTTGTGGTTTTATGTTGTTTGTTTGTGCTATGGTTTATGTTTTATATTTGAGTCTTTAGTAGATGAATATAAAACAAATTATTTACCGTAAAATAATATGTTTTATTTAATTATCTACCATAAAATTTTAGTGATAATATTTTATAATTTTGACCTATTGGTTTTTGTTTAACTATTTCCCATAAAATACCAATGATATATATTTGCAAACTGTTTTGACTATAATTTGGTAGTTTTTTAAAAATAAGTAGAAGAGTTGTTGAGTTGGCAAAAATAACATTGACCATAAAATAATGGTGATAAATGCTTTCACAATTTTGACTAATTGTCAACTTTTTTTTGTGCGAAAGAAATTTAACTATCTACCTTAAAATACTAAATGATAATAAGCAGTTTTGACCATCGATTTTGGTAGGTTTTTAAAGAATAGTTGTTAAGTTGAAAAAAACAATATTGGCCATGTTTTCAATTTTACATCTTTTCTGTTTAAATGAAAATTAGTTAATTTTCTCGCGCCTTGTGGAGGCTGATATAATTTTTCATTTGATTGTTTGGAAATCTAATAGTAGTTTGGATTCATTTGTTTTTTTTTTATCCTCTATTGTTGAGTATATTTTTTTGTTAGATTTCCTTGCATTTTAATGTCTAAAAACATGATCATGAAAACAATATAAAAGAGAGTAAATAAAAACATATTAGTATTCTGGAACTGACACATAAGCAAAAGATTGTGAAACTCGCTGTGAGCGCAACACATAAGCAAATCACTATACAAATAAGTAGTTAGAATGAAGAAGAAGGAAGAGGTTAAACAATTTTGAAAGTTGTGAGAGAAGTAGAGAAAAATAGCTGATATTTATATTAAATCATAAGAAATCGAAAACCTTATAAACTTAAGAAATCGTAAATGCTATAATATTTAGCGATATTCTAGCATAAATTATAGTTTTTTTGTTGACATTCTATAGCTTTTTAAATAGATTCTATCTTTAACATTTTTGTTAAATTTTTTCTAAAGTTTGGAAACATAAGAAATGGTAAACACTAAGAGATATAAAAGATTCTTTTTTTTTGTTTTTACCAAAAACGTTTTTGTTTAATTTTTTCTATGTTTTGGTTTTACAAAAAAATTAAACGGTTTGGTTGACCACAGAATTAAGCATTAAACCATAATAATTTAGACCGATTTGTTTTAAGTTTTTTTACACATCATCAGTTAACAACCAATTAAAAAATGATATCTAATTACTTAATAAGGTTAAACGGTCTTTTTGCAATCGAAACTCATTGTAGAGTTGACACATAAACGAAAAGTTGTAAAACTCGCTGTAAACACGACACGTAAGCAAATCACTACACAAATAAATAAGTATTAGATAGATTTTCGAATGTATTGAAAGTCTTGAAAACTGAAAAAACCAAGTTAATATTTTTGAGAAATAACATCTTCTTTCACATTAATTTCATTTAGATACCGTATTTTTTGAAGTCAATACTTATGCATCACTAATATTCAAAAGTAGAAAAATAGTTCCAAAAAACATGATAACCTCATGGAACAAACAGCTAGCAGTAAAACTATCAATCTTATTACATAATGACCTACTATTTTTTCAGAAAATTATGATAAACAACATTGTAAAATATCCATAACCATTTAAGCCTCTCTTTTAAACGAAAATTAAAAACCCATCTACTAATACAAGAAATCTTAAGAAAAAAGAACAATTTATTAGGTAAATCCTCCATCTTCTTCATAGTTGACTCCTCCGCAAGAAGAATCAATGATTGGCAAACGAGCAATAAAAAGAACAAGATGTTGCAAAAAGAACCAATACAGAAGCATTAACCAACAAATAAAGAAGCTCCTAATGATCAGCAGTGGAAAACATCTGCATCAATGAACATGTGGATTTACCAATCATCTCAGAGAAAAACAAAATGATAATAAGGCATGGACAAGAGAAAACAGCAGATTAAGATGGTTCAGACTCCAACAGGTATTGCTGCGTTCTTAACCTGAGCCGAGCCTAGCTTAGCCACTTCCATGTTCCAAAACCAAACTAAAGTTGGTAACTGATCGTCCAAGCTTACTACATACACTAGTATCAAATTCTCTGGGCTTACAAGAATAAGTTGGAGTTCCTTAGACTACAAAACCATTAGTATCTAGAGATCGAGATAACCAATATTCACAAATTTCTTTTCTTTTCTTTCTTACTAAAGATCAAGTGACCATTAGTATTAATTACATTTCAATCCAATAGCTAAACTTTCATCATTCCAGAAACTAATATAATGGCTAAACTTTCATCATTCCAGAAACTAATCAAATGGCTAAACTTTCATCATTCCAGAAACTAATCAAATGGCTAAACTTTCATCATTCCAGAAACTAATCAAATGGCTAAACTATCATCATTCCCGTACTTAATATCCCATTCCAATGGCTAAACTTTCAGCATTCCACTACTTAACATTCCAATCCACTACTTAACATTAATATCTAGAGATTGAGATAACCAATATTCACAAATTCCTTGTCTTTTCTTTCTTACTAAAGATTAAGTGACTAGTAAGTACTTGCATTTCAATTCAATAGCTAAACTTTCATCATTCCAGAAACTAATCAAATGGCTAAACTTTCATCATTCCAGAAACTAATCATATGGCTAAACTATCATCATTCCAGAAACTAATCAAATAAATAAACTTTCATCATTCCAGAAAACTTATCAAATGGCTAAAGTATCATCACTCCAGTACTTATATTCCAATCCAAAGGCTAAACTTTCATCATTCCAGAAACTAATCAGACAAAAGATTCCACATTTCATCTTCCATGTAAGCCAAAATCGAGTTCTTCACAGTTGTGTTCTTCTCCTCTAACATTCGAGCTTCATTTTCCAGAGACTCCCTCTCCGACAATAAACTCCTTAATTCATTATCTTCATCAACAGAAACATCCCTCTGAAATTCAAAGCATTTCTTCACAAAACCTTCCCTGCGTACAAAGAAATTTGTTGTTACAATGCGGATCAAGTAACATAGAATTTGAACAATGCAATTGATTTTTACCGTTTCTCTGTAAGCCTTCTGAGTAGCTCACAGTGTTCACTTCTCAGGCGACAAATCTCATCCTCGAGTAGCTTCAGAGAGTTTCTTGAATCGGCTTTAAGGAAACAAAGTATAGTGACGTCAATCACTGATCAAACTCACAAGGCGATTGAAAATTTCACAAGGAATTGGGAAGAAGTAAACCTGTTACGGAGATCAAGCCGCTGATTTCGAACTGAGAAGCAAGGAACGATCTAGTGAGCTCAGCTTCTTTGAAAGAGAGAGTCGATTCCATCTCAGAACATCTTACGATCTCTGATTCGATCTCTCGCGTCACCTGAATGTTCGCCTCGATTTCCAAATTGACCTTGACGGAACCGATCACGATCAAAGCGAGTGACGCGAAACCTTAACCAGAGAAGACGAAGAGGAAGAAGAAGAGCAAAAACCTGATCAAGCATGTCCTTGTAAACGGAGATTTGACATAGAATCGCTCCTGAATCGTCCATCTCTAATCAATCTCAGTCTCTCACTTCACTCCAGAATCAAAATCTCGGAAAGTGTTGTTATTTCCCGGCGTGTAGTTCTGGGAAAGAGATGATTTAGTGGGCCTTTGTGGGTTTAAATTGGCCCAATAAGCATGCCCGTTTTAAGCCATCGGACGAGAAGAATGAACCGCCTTCTCTATGATTTCGTTGTTTCCTTCTTTACCATTGACATTGTTGCGGGAAGAAGAATCAGAGAATCAGTAACAAAATGGATATGCAGACTGACATCGATAGATTGGTGTTCTTCGAATATGCTCGGAAAGCAGCAGAAGCTACCTACATCAAGAACCCTTTAGATGCCGAGGTTAGTTTTTTCTAATCATTTCTGGGTTTTATGATTCAGATGTGTGTGTTTTATGGGTCTTCGCTTGGTTGTTATCAAAAAAATTTCCCCCTTTTTGTTGTTTTTCGTTTCTGGGAGAAACTATGAGAAATTCGATGGAGATTTTGGGAGCTTTTGCTCGTGATTTCATGGCAGAAATCGAATAGGGTTTCTGGGTTTTTAACAGTGTTTGATTTCTGTAGAACTTGACGAGATGGGGAGGAGCGATATTGGAAATATCCCAGTTTCAGAACCCTTCAGACTCAAAGCAAATGCTTCAAGGTGCTTTTTTTTTGTGTGTGGCTATGCATCGATTCAGATAAGCTTTGATGATAAATTCAAACTCTTTTGATTTAATTATGTCTAAGAACCTAACTGTGATTTGAATCTATATTCTGTCATTAGAATTTCAGAATCTGATTGACTAGAGTAGTCCTTATGGTCTTATTGAGATCCTTAGTAGTTATTAGCTTAATGAAGGGGATTGATAGAAAATTCTAAATCTGTGTAGAGGCCATTTCGAAGCTGGAAGAGGCGTTGTTAATCGATCCAAAGAAGCACGATGCGCTTTGGTGCATTGGGAATGCTCATACTTCATTTGGGTTTTTGACTCCTGATCAAGCCGAGGCTAGAGATCACTTTGACAAAGCTTCTCTCTACTTTCAACAAGCCTTGGAGGAGGTAATATCTCCTTCGTTTCATAATCAAGACCTATCCATGTGGTTATCATCATTTATGTGTGTGGTTTTTTTGAACGTGTAATGTAGATTAACTTTGATTATTGCAGCAACCAGAGAATGAACTCTACCGGAAATCATTGGAATTGACTTCTAAGGTACATCTTTGTCTTTCACACATTGATTTCTAACTATGAAGGATGTAAGAAACATGGTTCAGCTTTTGGTCCTGATTCAAGGAATTGATATCTACATGTTGTAGAGGTTCCTCAAGCTGTCCTAGCAATAGTGCATCTGAATCATGTTTCTTTGCTTATGGAGTAGAGAACACATTGTACAGTGAATCAATAGTTATGAATCTTTGTGCTTTTTTTTTTCTTCCTTGTGACCAATTCTCCTTCTCTGTATGCTAAACTGCAGGCTCCAGAACTACACACAGAGGTTCACAAACATGGTTTAGGCCCACAACCATTGGGTGGTGCCGCTGGACCATCATCAACCGGTTCAAAGGTCCTTTCTTTTTACTCAAAAAACCCAAACTGGTTTTTCAAAATTTGGTTTGATGAAATCTAAACATTTTGTGTTTAATTTTTCCTTGACAGACTATGAAGCAAAAGAAGAACAGTGATCTCAAGTATGATGTGCTCGGATGGGTCATCTTAGCCGTTGGCATTGTTACGTGGATCGGTTTTGCTAAATCCCAGATGCCGTCACCAAGGCAGTAACACTCACACCACAAGAGAGATTCTAAAAGATCAGAAACTTTTTTATTCATTTTCAAACTACAAGAGTTTCTCGTTGTTAACAGATATGGAGATTACGAAACAGAGTGTCAGAAAAAACTTGTAGGAACTTCTTTAACTTCTGTTAAATAAAATTGTCTTTTGGAAATGTACAGACAAATCAGTGAAGACCGTAATCGCCTAACTCAGAAGAGTACTCTTGATGAACATCATCTTCTTCTTCTCCACCGTTTAGCTCTGAGATAGACTCTCCCAGTTTAGGCTGCATTGCTTGTGGTGCGATCATTTGGTTGACTCCATGAACAGCGACCCATTCGTTGGCATACATATCTGGATAGATGAGTGGGACTCCATTGAGAAGAAGAACATCACCGGACCAAGAAAGCTCGATTTCATACCCTTTTAGAGCAGTTTGCAGGATCGATCCTTCCCATGCTAGTTTCTGGAGATCTTTCCAAGAGAGAAGTTTCCGGATTACGTGTCCTCTGAAAATAGTGGCGTAATCGGAGAATTTGGAGATCGAATTCGGAATCGCTTCGTCGATGGGAGCAAAGACTGTGAGCTTCGTGTCGTTCTCTGAAGTTTCCAGTTGCAGAGCGAGAAACGTGGCCATTATCACGAAACCTCTGGAAAATAACAAACTCGAAGCCGATTCGAAGATGTTGAAGCAACTCGCTGGTTTAGTTTTGTTCGGGAAGGTTTTAGTGGATCCGGCGAAATTATGGCTTGGAGGAGTGCGAGTCGCTGAGCTAGGGATAGGAATCGATGGAGGAGACGAGATAGAGTTTGGGATTGAAGAAGACGATGATGAATTGAGGCTCGTTTCTTCGGTCATCGGCGCTGTGAAAAACTCGTCGGAACTATAAATCACGACGTATCCGTCGTCAAAAAGAGGAGAATCTTGGACTTCGACGTCGTTAATCGAAGTTTTGCCTCCGGATCGCGAAGAATTCGTGACGATTAGAGAGGAATCGGATCTGAGAGTTGGGATTTTCGCGCCGGGAAGAAGGTTCTTTAGGGATTCGACAGGGAGCCTCGCCGGAGAGAGCTGGTACTTGATATCGAGAAGCGAAGGCTGCCCAAAGGTAGAGAAAGCTTGATCGGAAGGTGCGAAGATGGTGAGTTCTTGCCAATCTTCTAGGCTCAGATCTTGGTTCGCGAGCTGTAGAGTGAGTCCCATGGAGAAGTGAGTAGATTCGGAGGAGAGGACTTCGACGGCGGAGGAGATAGGTGTCAGGGAAGCATCAGAAAGTGAGACAAGATCGAGAAAGAAAAATGGGAGGAAGAAGGTAGCAAAAATTTTCGACGCCATTGAAGCTGTTCTTTGAGCTCGATTCTCTCTCTCTCTCTGGTTGAAGAAATGGTTGTTGTGGAGAAAAAACCGTTGCAGGGGAAGAAGAAGTTACAGTTTAATGGAGTCCTTCTTCTAAAGGGCGGGAAAGAGGTGGGTTTAACTACTGGGCTTAGGCCTTTGGGCCTATTTTCATATTTATTTCATTTTCCATGAAATTCTACAAAGAGTAAACTCAGATATATTTGGTTTTTAATTTAAAATAAGTTAAATATTTTGACAAATTAGGCGCACCATTTCAAAACGCCGTAGTTCTAGAAAAATAAGCTTTTCAAAAAAAAAAAAATCACTGGGTTTAAAAGATCAATTTACCATTTGCAGAAGTATATCAATTTTGGGGAATTAGCATTGTATATATCGATATCCGTTGAACTTTACCAATGTGGCATTGTGACTTATATTAAGAACAACACAAAAGACATAAAGAAAAAATAACTCATGCATGTTGTCCTAAAATCAATTTTTTTACCACGTAAAATCTGTCTGTGTCATCTTTGAAAGAATCCTCCGGCGGCAACTCAGTTACTCAGGCATGCATGAACTCTCCGAGAAGCTTGTTATTCAACACGCTTACACTTTTCTTGATTTTACCACCTGTGATACTCTCCTTGATTTCCCCTAAATAAAAAAAAGAAAGAGGGAGGGATTTTTCATTTGAGAAAATGATGATTTTTGATGACTTGGTTTTGTTGGATACCAGTAATAATAATTTATATATTTACATAGAGATCTTACAATACTGGAAGTCAAAATGAATTGGCCATATCCTAGTTCTCTATAACTTGAGCCTGAAACGTTTGAAGAGAACCACTTGGATTTTTGGCTTCCAAAGTTATCGGGTAATTAAGAGGGAGTACCGGACTAGCATTTATGATGTTATAGTGAGAGGTAGGGCTGGCAAAATATCCGTTATTCGTCTTGATTCGATCCGAAAAATTTGGATATCCGTAATTTTATGGAGCAAAGCAAATACTAAAATTCAATATCCGTTAAAAACGGAACAAATCAAAAATACTAAAAAAAATGAAGACGGATATCTGCTCTGCTCCGTTATAAATATATATGTATATATAAATAGATAATAATTCATATAAAGTGTATAATTATTATATATAAATATAATTTTTGTGAGTTTTTGTTTATAAATTTAATTATTATAAATATTAAAACTTAAGAAGTTAAGAAAAAATATTTTTTTAAGAAAATATTGTCATTTTTAACTAAATTTTGAATTTTTAAATTTTTATTTTAAATATATTATTATTTAAATATTTTTATGAGACAGATTGGATATCCGGCAAATATTCAAATTTTTGGCGGCTATCCGGAAAACAGATATCTGAATAATTACGGAGCGGATACGAATCGGAAAAATGATTATCCGGACGAAGTGGAGCGAATCACATATATCTCCAAAAATTCAGAATATCCGTTCCGCGCCCACCCCTAGTAAGAGGGAGCACATGAGAGAAAGATATAACCTTATGACAGATAGGTTAGATCTGGCCCAACCCAAATGGGGTGGATAAAAAGGCGACGGCCCATGGGTCTAAATCTTTTTTAAAATTTTTTTACAAAATGGGCTTATGTATTGGACAAAAAACTCTTTAGAAAATTTATATTTATCAAAAAGTTTTGTTTAGAAAGACCTATATACAAAAATATTATTTTAAAAGAGTATTTAAATATAGATTTTTGATGTTAAATTTTTATAAAGGGTCCTAAATTTTTTTTTGTCCTAGGATTTTTATAAGTGTTGGGCCGGGGCTGGGTTAGATGAGAAGTTGAAGCTCAATGATTTTAATAGAAAAATCCACATGTATTGGGCTGCAAAAGCAGCGTCTTCAAAAAATTTATCAAAGTTAATATTTTTCTTGGGCTATTGTATTTCTTTTTTTTGGGTGTTTAGTAACAAGAAAGAAAAACATATAATGATTCAATATGATACTCGTATAACCATGAACAAATAAGTTGATATGGCCGAGTTGGTCTAAGGCGCCAGATTAAGGTTCTGGTCCGAAAGGGCGTGGGTTCAAATCCCACTGTCAACATTCTCATTTTTATATTTCCAGATATTATATGCTGACGTGGTCTTATCGGTTCGATTTAAACAGGGTGGGACCCGCGTTAATCGATGACGTGGACTTTTGATAGTCACTAATTGTCTGAGACAAAGACGATAAGGCGACTTCACTCACACTTTCTTCCTTTCTTCTTCTTCTTCTTCAATCCTCAAAAAACCCTAAATTTCTCCATTTCCATTTTCCACAGATTTCTCTGGGTTTGTTTTTTAGGTAGTCCCATCAATGGCGATTGCAACATCGATGAGTTTGAATCTAATTGGAGCATTCAAAGGCTTGTCTCTCTCGTCCACTTCGTCGTTCCTCAGAGGCGATTTGAATTTATGCCCTAAAACCTCCTTCACGGTGACTCTCCCTTTGGAAAAACTCCAAGCTCCGATTCCATTGACGATCGAATCTGCGCATAAGAAAGGAGCAGGAAGCACCAAGAACGGTCGTGATTCTCCTGGACAGAGACTCGGCGTCAAGATTTACGGTGACCAGGTCGCTAAACCTGGCGCCATCATCGTTCGCCAACGCGGTACTAAGGTAACTCTAAGAACATTTCTGGCTCTCAATGCGCTTCTGGGTATGTATAATATTATCTAATTTCACATCAATTCTGGGACTTGGTAAGGTTTTGGATGGGTTTAGCTCTCAAGCTTCTGGTTTCAGATTGCATTCTCGAATATTTCTGGGTTTTGTTTGTGTTTAGGTTGAAAGTATCTTATTTGAGGAGATATGATTCATGAATGATGCTCTAAATACACGAAACTGCAGAATTTATAAGCTCTAGAGCTCTGATTTCAGATTCCATTCTCTAAGATGAAACTACTTTTTGTTCAATAGATTGATTCATGAATATTTTTCGAAAACATGAAACTTTAGAATTTAGAAGCCCTCGAGCTCTTATTTCAGACTCCATTCTAGACTATAGCTAGGTTATGCTTGTGTTTAAGATGAAAAACTGCAAAATTTAGAAGCTCTTAGTTCAGAGTCCAATCTCTAATACATTCAGGTTATGCTTGTGTTTAGGGTGAAACTGTTTTGTTTGGGAAGATGGATTCATGAATGATGTTTTTAATGCAGTTCCATGCTGGAAAGAACGTTGGGATTGGTAAAGATCATACCATCTTCTCTTTAATCGATGGATTAGTGAAGTTCGAGAAGTTTGGTCCTGACAGGAAGAAGGTAAATCTGTGATCATACCGAGAATACTTTAGCTTTTCTTTAATCTTGTTGGTTTTTTAAACTGTGATTCTGTTTTTGTTTCTTGCAGATTAGTGTGTACCCAAGAGAAATTGTGCCAGAGAATCCCAACAGTTACAGGGCAAGAAAGAGAGACGCTTTTAGATTGCAAAGGGAGAAGAAGAAGGCGAGACGTGAGAATTACACTTACACACTTCCTACCCCTCAACTTGTTCTTGCTTCTGCTCCAACCGATGATGCGGAAACCAATCCCGATTGCTAGAAATCAAATGTGAATCTTTCCTTATCTCTTTATGTTTAGTCTTGTTCATGAAATTTTTACCTTCTCTAATTTACAAGAAACTTTGTTTTAAGAGTTCAGTTGTATGTGTCCAATCCAAACCTCACTTTTTGTCAAAATTTGAGTCCAAGCCTGTTATCAAATGGTTTACTGGTTATTATTCAAACCAACCCGAGATAAAGTTCAGGTTTTTGTGTAGTAAAAGTTCGCTTACAAGTAAACAATACTGAATCATTGATAAAATCAACTAATGAAATTATCTAATTATCTAAATTTTCATCTACCATAAGAACTAGTGGAATGATCATCTGTTGTTAATTCTTTCCATTGATTTGAATAATCAATCCAGTAAAGTTGAAGATATGATATATTGCCATTTAGATCACTTGTGTTACCCTTAGCCCATGTGTTTCTCATAAATGCACACACACACACACACACATGGAGAGAAATGGTTACTGAAGAGAAAGTTTAGATCTTTGAGCAGTATTTAAGAAGAGGAACAAAGAAAGTATAAGAAAGTATAAGACAAAAGCTTCGCTACTAAACCCTCTGCCACCAACAGAGGCAAACACAAGAGTGAAATAAAGTAAGCTAAGCATAGACGTGGACGTTGAGAACCACGAGGAAGAGGATGAGAAAAAGACCATAGAGGATGGTATGGACGAAAATAGAAGCTACCGTCGTCTTCATGTTCATGAAACCCACCGGAGATTCTTTTCCCGGAAATTGCAGTATTAGTCCCGGCGATAGAAACGCGAACAGAGCCGAAGCTATCAGCGGTGCAGCCCAATCATGCATAGCTTCTTACAACGAGCAGAACAAGAACAAGAGGAAGAGAAAGAAGAGAGCTTCAGAAAGTGGAAATTTGGTTGTGGAAGAATTGAGAGAATGGAGGTTTCAACTTGAAGAGAATGAGAATCCAATAAAGTCTATTTCTTTTCCATTAAAGCAAGAGAGAGAGATTGTGGAATTTTTCTTTTAGTGGGAGGTGTCTTAATCTTTTAAACATGTTTGAACATGTTAAAAATCCACTTTTTATGAAACTAATTAATGGGGATAGTAATTGTTTTAGATTGTTATTAGAAAGAATGATATGAATATGAATGTGCATTTTTTAATCCAAAATACAATATTTGAGGATGAACAAATTACGTTTTTAAAGATTAGTCACAATTATTATCAAAGGGTGGATCATAGATAAGTATAAGTAAAATGTCTTTAAACTTGGTAATTTTCAAGAGTTGTGATTTAGCCAAAAAAAACAAAAAATTAAAGAGTTGTGACCATTTAGCAATGGATAAAGACAAGACAAAATCACATGAATAATGATGTAAAATATGATTAAATCGTAGAGAAACGGTTCTATGTCACATTCAAGTCCGATGTGATTCACATGAATCGCGACCCTCCTTCGGTGATCAATAAATATACGCCAGGTTTCGAAAATCTATTTGGAGTAATTTTGTAATTTATGATGTTGCAATGTAATACATTGGTTAGTTACTTCTTTGTCTTGTGTTAAAGAGAAAACTAGTAGACTAGAAGTAACGGGTCCACCATTTGCTAATGAGATCAATATATTCCGTAAAAAGAGAACAATATCTGTCTGCTTTTTCGATTTGACATGTATATTCCTTTCAAAATGGGTAATAATCATCAGTAAAACTATTGTATTCAATTTATAATGATTACTTATATCGTCGACATTAATTGAGACGTATAAAATTCTTATCTACTCCCATCTTAATCTTTTTTTTTTTTTCAGCACTCCCGTCTTAATCTTCTATGCGTATATTTAATTAGCCTATTTTTAGCTAGCCATATAATGTACCAAATTGATAAGACATAAAGTAACATTGTAAAAGAGTTTTGTTAAATAAAAACATTGTAAAAGAAAGAGATGGTCTTTAGTTCTTTACGAAAAAACTCGTAACAAAAGTAATTAAAGAAAGTTTTCAAGAATATACATTTGTGCATGAGACTGAGACTACGCGTTTACACTAGGAGATATTGTCAATCTCTTTATGAAATTTTGAAAATGATGGTTTTCTTAGTATAATTTTTTTTCATCGTAATGCACGACTTTTTTTTTTATTACATCTCTTATTGATTTTTATTCTTAATTTGACGATATAAAATCTTCTTATAGTATATATACGTTTTATTTTTGTCAAATTGTTGGTACTTTTTTTCCAATTTAAATAAAATCAGGACAATTTATACATTTATATATTTTTTTAATTTTTCAGAAATACTATATTCCTTCCCAAGTATTATTATTCTACGTTCGTTCTACCACATTTATACGAGATTATTTAAATTTTCGTGACTAAAATAAAATATTATAGGCATTACCTCTGCTTTTCAACTTTCTGTCCGTCTTTTGACTCTTTTTTCTCTCTCTCACCACCGCTCTATCGAAAAAAGGCGTCTCCTTTGCGTTATTCTACTTTCACGGCAATGGCGGATTGGGCTCCGGTTCTCGTCGGAGTTGTTCTGTTCGTGATGCTCTCTCCAGGACTCCTCTTCTCGCTGCCGGGACATCACCGGACGCTAGAGTTCGGCGGCATGAAAACCAACGGAAAAGCAATCGCCGTCCACTCACTCATCTTCTTCGCTGCTTACACGATCTTGATCCTCGCAGTCAATCTCCATATCACCACCGGCTGATTTAGGGTTTTAATTTTGGGGGTTTTCCGGCGAAATAAAGGTAACCCCTTTTCTTCGAATCTGGGGGGTTTCAGGAATCTTCTGAGATTTGGAATGGAGCTCTGATTTAGGGGTTTGTATACTCTGTTCTATAGTTGTGTTTTGCAATGACTTCTACTGAAAAATGTATTAATCATTAAGCTTGTATTGTTGCAATTAAGTTAAAAGGAAAATGAACCTGTTCTTTTATCAGATTTGATGTTTGATTCGAACTTTTATTCAGAGCTGACGAAAGAGTTTTATTTGTTTATAAAATACAACCTTTTGTGATCCTGAGTGAAAATTAATACAATATCAGCAAAAGATCAGAGATTTTAGTGAAAATTTGTGGAAACAATCGAGTTTTTAAGCCAAAAAAAAGATGCTTTATGTTGCATTATTACATGCCACGAGAGTTCAGAAATGTTTTTATCCCAATTGATGTGTGACTGGAGCTACTTAGACTTTAGAAATTAAGTTATGGGATACAAAAATTACAGATTTTATTTGCGTACAACCTCTTTTGGTGTCACCCTGCTTGAAAGCCTTTGAGCCAAGAATCAGAGATTAGAAAGAAAAGAAAAAATAGCGGAAAAAGGCGAACTTTGAATCCAAATAAGCTTGCCTTTGTTACAGTAGAGGATCAGAAATGGATGTGAATTTGTATGGCTATGATCAAGATAGTGAGTATACAGAAATATATAATGGCGTGGACCAAAATCGAAATGCCGCTTGTGCTCATGTTCCCGAACTCCATCACTCTTGTCCTCGCTGGTAGCTGAAAGAGCAATCCTGGTGAGAGTAGGATGAACAGTGCCACTGCCACGATCACAGGTCCCCAATCTGCACTCATATCTCAAAAAAATTCTGTAATCTGAATTGTGTTTGTGTGTAACAGGTTCTTGTTTTTTTTTTGGTTTTCAGGTGAAGATGGAAAGATTAAAGCTTGAAAATGGAGAAGCTTGAATTGTTTATGTAGAGTTATTGGTTTCTTGGTGGCTAAGGAGAGGAATTGGTTTTAGATGCTAAGCTTTGTGAAGACTACAAAGGAAAGGTATTGTATTCTTTAAGTGGGTTTTGCTTTTTTAATTGTCTATGAACTTTCTTTATTCTTATATTTTCAATCAATTGCTTCTTTTATGGTTTCTGTTTTCTATTCTCGACGACTGCTTTACAGATCGTTCGTGGTATGTGTGTTTCCTGCTTTTGGTGTATGCTTTTGTTAAAGAATTGCTAAAAAGTATATGACTGTGTAAACGATAATATTACCAGTTGTTGTTTCTTTTTAAGGGTCTTATTTGATTGTTTTCTTCATAGGTTTGGAATTACCCTATATTTGACACTTATGTAATCCATCTGATCGCGACTAAACTGGACTGACTCTGGTAGTTTGGTATCAAAGATAGGCTATTGGTATTGGCTCTGATGTTAAAACTCTGTGTTTTAATGGCTATAACCGATTCAAACTAAATCATAGATAAAGATAGGAATGTAAATCAGATAACGATCACTTCACTTTCTTCTTTGTAATAAGTTTCTGTTTTTTTCTTGATCTACGTTATTTACTCTCTATTTTGCTTCCAAAAGTTTAACTCTTTACTTTTTCCGCGTTTCTAGGCTTGCGCTTGTTGGTGTTGAACATCAAGAACCAATGAGGACTGCATAGCTCAACTTCGAATCATGAAGTGAAGCAGAGAGTATGTGTGTTTATGTTCTGTAGTGGTAGTTTCTTGATGTTATTTGTATTTTCTTACTAAAAAAATCAGCCCAAACCTAGAAATAAACATCAGGCTTTACAAAGCTTTTTTTCTTTCAAATTTTTAATTGAAAAATGAAAAGTTTTAATTTCTTACATTTGTTTTGGAAAATTATTTGTCCAATAACGTAAGGTTTTAGAAAACATATACAGTAATATTTTCTCCTTGAGAGTTGAGAAAACAGCCAAAGTTTTCTAAGGCGGGAGATTGAAATAACACGTCACATTCACAGCAGAACACGTGGCGCTTTATCATTCGACCTTTTAACCCAAATTGAATAACCGCGAATCGTCGTCAACTACCATTTCCTTCTTCTCCGGAGGAATTTATCTACCGGGAAATGAAATCTGTCTGACCAATTTGCCTAAAGTTATTTCCGGTGAAAATCTGCCGGAAAATTCTCAATCTGAGATATTAATGGAGACGGAGATTCCTTGGTCAACGGAGATCTCAGAGACATTGTTGTTACCGGGAAAAATCTCGGCGAATCGCGATTTCCACGAAGAAGATGTTCCTCACTGGAAGGATCAGATCACGATCCGAGGCTTGATTGCTAGCGCCTTTCTGGGTATTTTGTTCTGTATCATTACCCATAAGCTGAATCTAACCGTCGGAATCATTCCTTCGCTGAATGTAGCTGCTGGTCTTCTCGGCTTCTTCTTCGTCAAGTCGTGGACTGGGTTTTTGTCGAAATTAGGGTTTTCGGTTAAACCCTTTACCAAGCAAGAGAACACCGTTATTCAGACTTGCGTTGTTGCCTGTTACAGCTTGGCTTATAGCGGTAAATGAGGAATTGTTAAAGTTAGCTTCTTTGTCGATTTTGCTTAATAAAGTTAGCTTCTTTGTGCCTTTATAATGCAAAATCTTGTTGTGTAGAGTGAGCTTCTTCTAATGATTGATGATCAGTTATGATTGATGATCAATTATAAATGCTAGTTTTGGATTGTTCTTGCATTTGCTTTGGTCCTCTGATAGAGTTTCTCGATTTCTTGTTTTTTTTTCTTCATCAGGTGGATTTGGTTCTTACTTGATTGCTATGGATGATAGGACATACAAGCTCATTGGTGCTGATTATCCTGGGAACAATTCAGATGATGTTATAAATCCTGGACTTAGGTGGATGATTGGGTTTTTGTTTGTGGTCAGCTTCCTTGGTGTCTTCAGTATCGTTCCACTTCGCAAGGTAACATCTCAATACTGTGTGATGATATGGTTTCTTGATGAGTGTATATATGGTTTCTTGATCCTTGTTAAAAAGTGTATTCTCAGGTGATGATTTTGGACTACAAGCTAACGTATCCCAGCGGAACCGCTACAGCGATGCTGATTAACAGTTTTCATGACAACTCTGGAGCCGAGCTTGCAGGGTAAATTGCCAGAGATTCCATTTTCAACCTCACTTCCTGCAATCATCAATAGCTTGCTTGAGTTTCATTATATACTTATCTCCACAATATTATTATTCACTTCAGAGTCCAAGTTAGATGTCTAGGGAAATACCTGAGCCTTAGCTTAGTTTGGAGTTGCTTCAAGTGGTTCTTTAGTGGTATTGGAGATTCCTGTGGGTTTGATCACTTTCCCACACTTGGTTTGACGCTTTTCAAGAACACGTAAGTTCATAACACTTTCTCTAATTAACCACTCTAGAGCACGTGGGATCAAACTGTTAACGAGCTTATGATACTTCTGCTGCGCAGGTTTTACTTTGATTTCAGTCCTACTTTTATTGGATGTGGTCTGATATGTCCCCATTTAGTTAATTGCTCGGTCCTTCTCGGTGCCATCATTTCTTGGGGCTTTCTCTGGCCATTTATATCACAGCATGCTGGAGACTGGTATCCAGCTAACCTTGAGGCCAACGATTTCAAAGGTCTCTACGGATATAAGGTACAATACAAACACTTACTCTCTTTGAGGGTAGTTATTGATATCGTTTCCGTATCTATTAGGTCTTTATCGCCATTGCTATCATCCTCGGTGACGGTCTTTACAACATCCTCAAGATAATTGTTGTCACTGTGAAGGAACTCTGCAACAAAAGCTCCAAACAACAACACCTACCTATCTTTTCCGACATTTTAGGTGACCAAAACATATGATCCTGACTTTTTTTCAAGTAAATGTTTGTCTCAAACAGATTTTTTTTCTGCGTTTCTTTGATGCAGATGAGAATGAAACCTCGGAATTACTTCTGGAGAAGAAGAAAAGAGACGAAGTGTTTTTCAAGGACCATATACCACTCGGTTTTGCGGTTTCTGGTTATGTGTGTCTAGCAGCCATTTCGACAACAACAATCCCATTGATATTCCCACCATTGAAATGGTACTTTGTCCTCTGTTCATACTTGGTTGCACCGGCTCTTGCCTTTTGCAACTCTTATGGAGCAGGGCTCACGGATATGAGCCTGCCTTCAACCTACGGAAAGATTGGTCTTTTCACCATCGCTTCAATCGTAGGAAGCAACAATGGTGGTGGAGTCATTGCTGGTTTAGCAGCCTGTGGAGTTATGATGTCAATCGTCTCAACCGCAGCAGATCTCATGCAAGACTTCAAAACAGGTTACCTCACGTTATCATCTGCAAGATCCATGTTTGTGACTCAGCTTTTGGGCACAGCGATGGGTTGCGTGATCGCTCCTCTCACGTTTTGGATGTTTTGGACGGCTTTCGACGTTGGAGATCCTGATGGTCTTTACAAAGCACCTTACGCGGTTATCTACCGTGAAATGGCTATTCTTGCGATCGAGGGGTTTGCGAAGCTGCCTAAGCACTGTTTAGCTCTTTGTTTTGGATTCTTTGTCGCTGCTCTGATTGTGAATCTTGTAAGAGACGTCACACCAAGAAAGATCTCAAAGTTCATACCGCTTCCAATGGCTATGGCTGCTCCATTCTACATTGGAGCTTACTTCGCCATCGACATGTTTGTTGGAACATTGATTTTGTTCGTATGGGAGCGGATAAACAAGAAAGACGCAGATGATTACTCGGGTGCAGTAGCTTCAGGGTTGATATGTGGCGATGGAATCTGGACAATCCCGTCAGCGATTCTTTCAATCTTTAGAATCAATCCACCCATTTGTATGTACTTTGGACCATCCTAAGACATTGTTTTGTTGAATGTTTCTTATGCATTATTGGCAAAAGTCTGAGTGCCAAACTTTTTTAGCTCACTAACATAACATGACATTAGAGTAGCAAAACACAAGGAAAAGAGTACCATGTATGTTTCTAAACTCAATCTTCAGGTAGAGTATTGCTTAATTACTTCTTTCAGTCTTCAAAACTTTTTTTTTTTGGTATTAAAAACTGTATGAATTTTGGCGCAGGCAAAAAACCCATGTAAGATGAAGAAGTATGGATTGATAAAATTGTCATTAGAGATGCATAAGTAAGTTCAAAGTTTTTATACACGAAATATTGCTAAAATTTGGGAACACAATGCTCATATATATATATATATATATATATTGTTATTATAGCAAAACCTCTGTAAAATGGTTTTTGCACGAAAAGTGTGCACTCAAGAGATATTACATCCTTAGAGATATAGTTTTGTATGAACACACAGAATAACAAAAACATAGATAACAGAAAACCGGCCATTGACTCAGATTATATGGTGCCTAATCTTCCATATCAACAACAACAAAATCTAAGAATAAGTCATCAGATGGAAAAAAGAAACCAAAACAAGTCAATCATCATTCTTTTATTTTGAGAGCATTACTCAGTAGCTGCTACTCAAACGGACTATCTTCAATAGTGTAATTCGTAGTCAGTTCAAGGCTTGGAGTTTTCCTAAGTGGAGTAGTAGTGATGATCACACTCAGCTTGTTAAATCTAACATCTGCAAGACTGTACTTTACTGTTGAAGAAGTGTATATTTCCACTTCAGTAGATTTAACAGTGAAAGTGATAACCTGGAAAACAAAAAAAACCTACAAAAAAACCTAAACCGTGAAAATAATAACTATATATATAGCAAAATTGTCAACTTTTTTATAATAATAATATAATTTTAATTTTTTATGTATGAAAATTGTGCATTCAAGAGGTATTAAAACCCCAAAGATACAGTTTTATATGAAATCATAAAATAACAAAAACATAGATAATAGAGAGTATGTTCTGGAACAGAGTTACTAGGAATCAAAAATTTATCAAAAAGTACCGATAAACAAACATCTTCGTGTGATGTTTATTTCATCAGTGTTTAGAATTTTTCTCTCTCTAAAAATCTAGTAAGAGAAAACTCTCTCAAAACTCTTCATCGTTTTCTTTTTGGCCGGTGACCGGTGTTTTCCGACGCCGGCACTGTGCTGTTAATATTCTTCGGATAATAAATTCTGGTGAATCCAGATTTCTTATGTCTATATTTTGTTTGTTTTTCGTTCTCCGAGTAAGTTCGGTTTTCCTTTTCCGACTATGATCAGATTTTCTTTTCTGACTAAGATCGGATGTTTCATGCCCGTTTCTCTTCCGCATATGAACTCCTCTTAAAATTGAGATGGTTGTGAATGAATCTGGTGGTTTGCTTTGAGATTTCTTCTTCAGATTTGGGTTTTATCCTCTCTTGACTGAGAGATTAAGATCTCTCTAATTACCTTTTTAAAAGCACGATTGTGGCGTTGGGTAAAAAGTCTTGAGTTAAAGATAACGGTTGTGATTTTGATTGAAGAAGAAAGTTCTGGCTAAATTTCAATCAGATTCTAATCCGAAGAGTCACTAAAGGAAAGAGAAGATGCAGAGATGTTTCTAATGAAGCTTTCAAGTGGTGGAGATGCGTTGATGATTGGCGGTGAGACCGTCGGCAAGAAAACCACCGTCGGCGGAGTTTACGACGGCGATGCAACATTTTTTCTCCTCAGATGCCACCTGTCACTGTATTTTCTTTAGATCAACACGTGTTTTTTACGTGTGATTTTCTTTGTGTTGATCTAGATTGTATTGGGCCTGATGTAGGTTTTGAAACTCTCTGTATAATTGCCTTCTCTTGGGCTTTCCAGTAATGTATAAGTTGACAAAAAAAAAAAAACAAACATCTTCGAGGGCTGGGCACAATTACTTGGAACTCGTCCCGTACTCGTTACTTGACCCGTACTTGTCCCGTAAAACCAAGTACTTGTTTTGATCAAGTCGAGTATCAAGTATCTTAAGAAGATTACTTGCAAGTATAAGACAAGTATCAAGTATTAAAAAAAAATTACTACTTGGTCTTATTGACCCGTTACTCGTTTCAAATCTCTGATTTTTTTTTTAGTTTTGTTCCACATCGATTACAACATAAAAAAGGAAAGAAAAATCTGCTTATCAAAAGTTAAATACGTTGCCAGACTTCAATATCTAAAGCTTTCCAAAAACCTAAAGGTCAAAATATTAAATATTATCATAGGTTTTAATTAAATATGGCCCAAAATTTTAGTTTTTTTAATATTCTATTTGTACTTTTACAAGTAACGGAACAAGGCAAGTAACTTGCAAGTAATGAAAAATTTGGCAAGTATTTGATATTAACAAGTCAAGTACAAGTACAAATATCTTGATACTTTAACGGGGCAAGTCAAGTATCAAGTATACCAAAAATGGCAAATACTCGTCCCGTGCCCAGGGTCAAACCTTCACGTAATGTAAAACTTGGTCTCGGTCAAAGATTTACCTTGTGTATATGGGCTTCATGTGTAAGCCCATATTTAAATTGTTATTTTTTTCACGAAGCCCATACAAATAAGTAATGTTCAAACCAAACGCGATATCTCCTTCCTCGTCATTTCGACGGTATTCCCTTGAAATCATCCTAATCCTGCTGCAGAAACCCTAAGGTAAGTATGAAATCGAGAAACTTTTGTCTAGATTCCAGATTTTGTTTACAATCTTGTCCGGTCCTGACTCAGTTATGTTTCTTTGTTGAATAGGAATAGATTCAATTCGAGAATCATGGATCCACTTCCCGAACCCGTTACCTACGTCTGCGGAGGTAAGCTCGACTATCGTCTTCCTCTCGAAAGCTTTATCGACCATCGAATTCTGGGATTATCTTGAAACTGAATTTTTGATAAAGTTTACTACTTTAGTGTTGTAAAAATGTTAGCTTCGTGAGTTTAAATGCTTTAGGGAATTAGATATGCATCATTGGTGTGTACGTCAGAGGTTATCTTCTTTTGTTGTTGTATTGCTTTTGCTTAACTTGTTCATATTGAGGTTTTGAAGATTGTGGACAAGAGAACACATTGAAGTCTGGAGATGTGATCCAATGCAGAGAGTGTGGGTATCGTATTCTGTACAAGAAGCGTACCCGTAGAGGTGAGTTCAATCACTACTAATCCTTAGTCCTTCTTTTGTGGAGTGATGCAAGTTCTTAGCGTTCTTTGATTTCGAATTTGGTTTTTAGTTTGTACCTTTGTTACTACATATCCCTTTTGTATTTGGATTGTTAAGTTATATGGTCGTTTATTCCTCTTGCAGTTGTTCAATACGAAGCTCGCTGAGAACACCACTAGTCAGTCCTGAGGAAGATGGTTTCAAGACTTTTTGCCATTGTATGTAATATATATTGACATGTTTTGTTTGGTTTGATTTGAACACAAGTGTGACTCTGTAATTTCCTTGCCTCTTATGAATTCCTTAGAATAAGTGAGTTTACATTGGTGAATCCTTTTGATTGGCTTTAATTACTCATCTTCATTCGCCATTTCAACAAGCAAAACATCTCTCTCTGTGTCTCTCTTTCTCTCTTTCTTTCTGGTTTGCCGCCTTTGTTCTTTTAGTGTTCTCTGCATTCAGTTGGTCAATGCTGATTAACAGTTTTCAGAACACTATTAGAGCTGAGTTTCATTTTCATTTCATTGAATATTATTCACTTCAGAGTCACACTTGTGTTCACTTCAATGTCTTGCCTAGTAATCTGAGCCTTTGCTTAGTTTGGGGTTGTTTCAAATGGCTGTTGTCGGTATCCAAGGCTTTGCAAAGCTGCCTAAACACTGTTTGGCTCTTTGTTGCGGATTCTTAATCGCTTCTCTGATTGTAATTCTTATCATAGGAGCTAAGAAAGTATTATGGCAAAAGTCTAAATGTAATCTCTTTTCGTTTTTAGTTCCTAACATAACATCACATTAAAGTAGAACATAAAAGGGACAAACAAACTTTCTAGTAGACTTAATCTTCAGGATCAAAAGGTCTGTTGTCAAAATCTTCTCTGTCTTCAGCTAAGTCAGGGCAATACCTTTCAGACAAAATCTCGACTTGTTCTGCAAACGTTTTGGTTCCAGGGAAACCGATATTCCGCACCATCTGGTCCCACCGCTTTCTACAAGCTTCACCATCTCGATTATCCAAAAGATTATCCCAATCCACATCGTCGACACAAGCAGCATCAAGATTCGTAAGCTCGTCCATGAGCCTATAGTCATCAACGTTAGCCCATATTCCTTTTGCCACCATCGGTGATTGCAACTGATCATACCATTTAACGCAACAGATAGTGTGGTCCCGTGTTTCAAGCTGGTCGCTTATCGCCATCCAAGGGATGTTATCTCGGAGCATCCCATGCTTTGAGCGCTTCTCTTGGAATGCTTTCATTCTAATGTCTTTGTTCACAAGCTCAAAGAGAGTTTGATACTCCTGCCTTGACCAATGTCCTTTCTTCTTCTTCGACGCCATTCTTACTCTCCTCCAAGCGTCTTTCACATGCCTCCTGTGTTTCCCCATCGCATCTGCAAGAGCTTTCCAATCACTCCCGTGTTTCTTGTGATACTCTATAAGCATATCAAAATCCTCTTTAGTCCATACTCCTTTGGATCCTTCTTCAAATAAAGTATGGGCACGATGGTACACACCACTATGTGGCCTCCAAGGTAAAGCAGCTGTTATTTCTTTCCAACAGCCTCTAATTTGTGGGTGTGACCTGCAGTTCATAATCATGTTTACCCCTTCATCTCCTAAAGCATGGTTATCAACGTACTCTAACACAGCTTTCTTTATCAGCTCGTCTTCTTCCTTTGTAAACCGGTTACCTCTCACCAGTTCAACCCCTTCTTCTTCTTCTTCTTCTTGTTCCTCCTCTTCACTTTCTTCATCCTCAGCAGGAAAAACTTCCACTTGATCAGAAAACTTCACCTTTTTTGTGCTTTTACTTGATGGGGTGGTCACATTTTCATCACTCTTACTACACTTCTTCTTCCTTTTCTTCGTTGCCTCTTCCTTGTTGTTTTCTTCGGACTCAGGATCCTCCCTTTGCTTCTTTTTCTTCTTCCCCTTCTTCTTTGCATCTTTAGTAGAGTTCAAGTCGTTTTCTCCAGCCTCTGAATTTTGTTTCTTCTTTGCATCTTGCGTCGAGTCATTGTTGTTTTCTTCAGCCTCTGGATCTTCACTCTGCTTCTTCTTCTTCCTTTTCTTCTTTGCATCTTTCGTAGAGTTCAAGTCGTTTCCTTCAGCCTCTGAATCCTCACTTTGTTTCTTCTTTGCATCTTTCGCAGAGTCCTTCATTTCTTCTTCAACCTCTGGATTCACACATGGTTTCTTCTTCTTGCTTTTCCGGTTAGTTTCCTTGTCGGAATTTTCTGTGTTTTCTTCAGCTCCCAAACCACCCTCATCACGCTTTCTCTTTCCCGTCTCCCTCTTACCATCACTTTGACTTTCTTCACTGTTTCCTATCTCATCACCACCAGATTCTTTCTTGCTCTTCTTCTTCTTCTTCGATTTCTTCACACCATCACTCTCAGCCTCAGAATCAACACTTTTCTCCTTATATCTCTTCTTCGATTTCTTCACACCATCATCCTCAGCTTCAGAATCAACCATTTTCTCCTTACTTTTCTTCTTCGATTTCTTCTCACCATCTTCAGCTTCAGAATCAGCCCTTTTCTTCTCGGATTTCTTCCCACCATCATCAGCATTAGCTTCAGAATCAGCCCATTTCTTCTCCAATTTCTTCCCACCATCATCAGCATTATCTTCAGAATCAACCCTTTTCTTCTCTGATTTCTCCCCACCATCATCAGCATTAGCTCCAGAATCAGCCCTTTTCTTACTCTTCTTCGATTTCTTCACACCATCATCGTCAGCTTCAGAATTGACCCTTTTCTTCTCCGATATCTTCTTAGCTGGAGCGCCCTCACCCAATTTCTCTCCTTCAAACGCAGCTGTCTCCCCATTTTCTCCACCAAAGCTATCCTTTTTCTCTCGGCTTTTCTTCTTCTTCTTCTTCTTCGTAGAATTGCGTTCTTCAACGGTTCCCTCAGATTCAACCCTATTCTCACTCTTCTTACTCTCCTTACCCATCTCAGATTCCGGCGAACCTAACCCAGTTTAACAAATTCGCAGTAAATCACACAATTCGCCGCGAAGATCTCTTCGAATCCGACACTGATCTTCGTTGAGTAAAATTATCGGCTGAAATTCGTATAAACCCTAATACAATCAAAGGATTAACCTGGAGTATAATCAGTGGGCTCATAAAAAAGCCTTAAAACAAAACATATGTCTTAGCAGATCGATCATACCCGAACCTAACTAATTTTTAGCGGCCCAAATCAAGCCCATACTTGTACCAGCGAGTCTACTCGAAATCAGATCGATTTCACTGTGGACGGCAATGTTAACTGTCGATGCAAAAGGCATATTGCCATTTGTAAAGTTGAGATTTGAGGTCCTAGTCGCAGTTTGGTGGAAGTATATATCGAAGTTGTACATGAGAAAGAGAGAAACACACAAAAATCTTAAAGATCACATTTTTGAAATAAAAAATCCAATCTTCGTTTTCTTGAAATATCTTTGCAAATGCAAATATAATGTTCCATTTTCAATGTTTCCATCTATATAAGGCCTACTAACAACATATTTATGGGCAAAAGACATAATTATGTGCACTTTTCTAATTTTTCGCACTTATTGTAACAAATTTCTAGCTCGTTGTAGAGAATAATAACATAGCCAAAATATTTGTAATATACCATTGTGGATAAATTCTCATGTGTTTGCATATTTGGCTTTTTTTTTCTTTTCTTTTTGTAAAAGTGTAGATCATTTTATAAGATAACACACAAATACATGTCCAAAAAAAGAATTTAGCCTTTTACCGTTTTTCATTGTGGTATGTATATGTTTTTCCGTAGATTCAGTTACTTATATTTTTTATCGTCAACTTGTTTTATAACGAAAACCCAAAAACAGGCAAGTTACAGCAAAATTGAGGTCCAAACTCATACATTAAAAAGCAAATCAATCTCATTAAAGTCCAATATTAAAAAGATAAAGATTGATAAGTCTAAAACACGTGTAAAGACATGCAGCAGATTTTGGGTAGATGTTGGCTCACGGTTTGAAGATACCGTCGATTCATTACCGGTCAGAGCTCTGCTAGAAACCGATAATCCAAAGAGTATAACCATGTATGTTAACTCCAATGGATCTCCATCTTCCTCTAATTGCTGTTTCTTGACTGCTTGATTCCTCTCTGATTAGATCCGGATTAGAACTTGTCGGAAGCTTACATCTCCGATGAAATTAACACCGATCATCTTTGATTCTAGACCACATCACCCAACGCCATATGGCTCTTAAAAAGGGGATTTAAGGAGAGTTTATCTCCTAGCCGAGAAAGGATGATCCAAAAGTTGAAGAAGAAAGCTCGACATTCACAGCCGGATTTATTCGCCACCGTCTCAAATCATTTATAGAGGTCCAAATCCAGAGAAGAAAGAGCTAGCTAATCCAGTTAAAAGCGAACATTATTATCCGATTAAGTCGGAATCCGACATACACTAAAAAAACTTCGATTATAAGATCGAAGATATGAGAAAAAAAAAAAAACTTTATTCTCTGTGAAAGATTAGAAAGAGAGAACAGAAAAAAAAGCAAAAAACTCTCGGTTCGCTTATTCAATTGCCGTTAGGAGAGAGAAGAAAACGAAAAGGAGAGAGAAGAAAACGAAACTCTATTGATCGAGTTACTTATATATACTTATATAAATGTGAGAATTTATTAGAATTTATAAATTGTTCGAAAAATTATACGATAAGTGTGAAAATTTATTAAAAATAAAACTTAGTTACCTTTACCTAGGTCAAAAGGTTACACTTACACACGCCCCACCTTGAATCAGAATCTCTGTGAGAGAGAAGGAGAGAACCAAAAAAAGCTTGGTAATTTTTAGTGTGCGACCATAAAGTCACCACATCTTGACCTGGTCCATGATGGATCCCAAGAACCCAAATCAACCACAAGTACCGAATTTCCCAAACCCTTCACCACAGAATCAGGACAACGAGAAGACGGCGAAAGAAACCGACTTTAAGGGTTTCAATACTGTGGAAGGGAAAAGAAAGTGGAAGAAGAACCATAAGGAGAACGAAGAACAATCGGTTCAGAAGAAACCGAGCAAAGATCGACACCTCAAAGTCGAAGGACGAGGCCGAAGAGTTAGGTTGCCTCCACTTTGTGCGGCGAGGATTTTTCAATTGACCAGAGAATTAGGTCACAAATCCGACGGCGAGACTCTCCAGTGGTTGCTTCACCATGCCGAGCCGTCGATAATCTCCGCCACCGGAAGTGGAATCAAACCCACCACCGACTCTGTTTCTCAACCTCCTCTCACCGCCGATTTGAGCCTGAAAGGAGCTCCAAGGTCTCAAATTGCAAATGGGTTTTGGCCAAATGAAACCGGGTTTGATGGTGGAGCTAATGCTTCAACTGCAGGAGGGTTTGATTTGAATTATGGAATTGGGTTTCTTGGGTTTGATTTCAATGGTTCTTCAGGGATGGGTTATGAGAATAATCAAATGTCTCAAGATGGGACTGTTGGGGTTTTGAATCCACAGATTTATCCGCAATTTGCTCTACAACAAGCTAAGGCTCATCATCACAATCTTCAACATGAAGCTCAGCAAGAGAAAAATGGTTCTTAAAGGTCAAGCCTTTAATGGCTTTTTTTACTTAGATTGTCCATATATATGTATATCTAGTAGGAATCTTGATATATGCTTTTGCTGAATTCTCAAGCTTGATATAGCTTTTAGGGAATGCATTTTATGGCACAGTGTGCTTATTAATAGCTAAGTTTACTTAACCTTTCTTTAAATTATATGGCTTTGATGTACTAATTACGCTGTAAACTTAGTAAGTAGGATTTGCTATTTGAACTGCACTGGATTGAGGCTTCTATGCATTATCAAGCACTTTGTTGATTGAATTTGTTTGCACAGAAAAAGTTTTCGTTTCGGGACAGAAGTTGTTCCGGGAATGGTTTTTGTGGTTTAAGCTTCATCTTGTTTGAAAGATTTTACCCTGAAGCTAAGTTGTTTTGTGAGTCTGTAATTCCAAGTTTAATCTCTTTTGGTCTCTGATGCTGGCACACATTGGCTTGCTGTCTTTAATGGTAGAATTTGGACTAAGCTACGTTTTTTGGGTGAGAAAGTGGCGCGCGTTCTTCCATGAGAAGAGCGAAACAGTATGAAGTTTCATTTTTGTATTGTGTCAAACTGTCAACAGCACACAAACAATGAGATGGGCCTCATTGGCGAAAACCCTGATAGGATCAAGAACTAATCTGAAACAAAAACTTCAAATTGATTAATTTGATTAGGGCCAACCATAATCCGCTTTGATTTGTTGTATACTTCGATCCGATTCAAAAACTTTGTAAGTTACGTTGAGGGAGTAAAACAAATACTAAAATTAAGTACTACTAATCAAAAACTGAGTAAATTACAAATATTACTACGTTGGACATCTACTTAGGCATAATATATACTTTCATGATAAATTCGTTATAGGAAACTATGTAATTTGCTAAAATATTACAAAACTTCAAAAGTGAATTTCAAAATAAATATTGTATTGGTAACATGTGATTTTGAAGTTGATTTACAATTGATGTTATGATTTGATGTAATTTTAAGTAAATATTATGTGGTATAAACAGTAGATTTATGCAGTGAGTTTGCTGTAAAAATATAAGTTACCTTTTTGTCAAAATACATAATTGGTAACATTTCTGCTGTATAAGTTGTATTATATGTTATTTAAACAAATTAAATAAACGATTATCAATTATGATTATATTTATTAAACAAACGTGGGATAGCAAATTTAGGTGGAGAAAAGCAAAAAAACAAATCCTAACTCAGCTTCTAATACAAGAGATTTTCTTTGATTGATGTTGAATTAACTTTTGAGTAATCAATTTTATAAAAAAAAGATAACTCAAAATTATAACTCAACTATACCACTTTATAACTCAAACCTAAACTCAAAAAAATAAATTAATGCATGATTGGTAACATTTTTGATGTTTGCCCATAACTCAAACTAATGCAAGCGTAACTCATATCACCAATCAAAGCCGTAATTTAATCGTTAGTTAACTTTGAAATTTTCATTATTTTTTTTGTTTCCTTAACAATTTATATAGGGGATTGGACATCCAAATTTTTAATAGATATCATAATATCACATATTTGACTAGTTTTAGAGTAGATACTGGGAAAAAATATGTCGATCCGAATTAAAGAACAGATCACAGATACGAAAAAAAACCAAAAAAAAACAAAAAACAAGGAATTTGCACTATGTGTCCCTTAATCTGTAAGTACTTGTTTGATACTGTTACATTGATGCCTCAATGGCAGAGACGATCAAGAACTAATCTGAAACAAAATTTCAACTTGATTCATTTGATTAGGTCATTAGGGCCAGGCATAATCCGCTTTGATTCGTTGTATGCTTCAGTCCGATTCAAAATAATTGTAAGTAGCAAAACATATACTAAAATTTAGTACTAATCAAAAACTAAGCAAACACGAAATGTTAAAATTTACTGCGTTGGATATGGACTCGGTCATAAAAATACTTTCATATTAATTTGTTATGAAAACTATTTATTTTTTTTTTACCGAAAAAAATAACAAAGATTTAGGAGTGATTTCAAAAATCTATTGTTAGTTAACTTTGATTTTTTTTTTGGTTTTTTAACTAGCTGAAAGTTCTGGATTCACATATTGTATGTTTTAAGGTTCGAGTTTTTTGGTTCTATATGTGGAAGACCATGCTTTGCAGTTTTATGAGATACTTGTACGGTGGAATTCAAGTTACGTTATTTGGTCAAATAGAAAAAGAAAAAAATTAAAACGTTGAATAAATTTGGTCAACAAATACGTTGGCTTCGATTAATATGAAAGAGAGAAAGATGCGTTTCTACTTGGCGGTGGGAGATATGTGATTCTCTCTGGTCCCTCCTTTCTTAATTGATTCGGTAACCTAAACCTTCTCCAGCCAAGAAGAGACAAACAAGGAATTACAAAAACTACAGAATTTGAACAACATAAGTGTTTATATATATTATAATGGGAAGAATCTATTTATTATTCTTTTTTTTTAACCGAAAACAACGTCATCTAAACATGGTCGGATCTGAGAATTTGGGGGCTATAAACAATTTAAGAACAATTTTTTTTTGTATGATTTAGGGGCCGAAAAATTCATAAATAACCAAAGAAAAATTTTGGGGACTATAGGCGAATGTTTCATCAGGCTGTCCCCAGATCCAGTCCTGCGTCTAAATAACTCTTAAGATAATGTACATGTACGTAGAAACTTCTATTTCTATATTCTACATACTTTCTAGAATTCTATGACATTTTAGATTTAAGAAATTCGCATACTAATTAAAACAAGAATATGTGTAAACTCTTATAGGAGCTCATGGCGTTTATTAGTTTTTAGATTTCCCATATACAGTATCATTCTTTTTTTTTTGTTCACATAGAACATTCTTACGTTTTGGACTCAACAATTTTAGTTGTTTTGAGTGATTGAGTTTCGTGATCATCCAGATCGCATTTCGTCAAGTGTACAAGAACCGTTGTTTGACATAGACTAATATATTCCAATTGAAAAAACTTCTCAAAAATTTGGTTTTCTTAACCATACAGAATCTATTCTTGAAAAATGTGAAATTTTGTGTTGTATGGTTGAAGTTTTCTTCGAGAAAGAGAATATGCATGATGACATCTAATTGAATTCTTTTAGTATATCCATGAAAATATCGTAAAGAGTAAAGATAAATGGCAAAGAGAAAGAAAACTAAGAAGTCATCCAAAAATTGGGAGGCCTACTCTCAACTAACAAAAAAAACACATTAGTGTTTGTTGTGTTAGGTCATTTATTCAGTCACCTAACACTAACTAAATGAAATACGTTAAAATCCAATATATATATATATATATATATATATATATATATATATATATATAAATATTAATAAAAGAAAAATTAAAGAAATACTACTATTAGTCAATAGAACTCATTTTTATTAAATGAAGCAAGGCCGTCCAAGTATTCTAACTTTCACATAATTCTCACGTTTCTCCTCTAACAAGACAAGATTTCTATGAACTTGCGGGTCCCATGAACTTGCGGGTCCCATGATAATCCTCATTGATTTCCCCATATATATCTCATGAGAATCCAACTCGACTTCATAACTCTATTTGAATAAAAAATGGTTTGTGTTATTGTTTTTCATTATGTTCTTGTTTTGTTTTACAAAGTCTTCAAAGATTTTTTCATGTATTCACTCTTCTTTTTGGTTCTTCAGGTTGCGGAGAACAACAACAAGGAAGTAACACTCTCTGCTTCAATGGACGACAACAACAACAACATGAAAGGAACTAAGTTTCATCTTGAGGTTTTTCAAAAGGAACCAGCTTTGGTCAAACCCGAATCCGAGACAAGAAAGGGTCTCTACTTCTTGTCGAATCTTGATCAGAACATCGCCGTGATCGTCCGTACTATCTACTGTTTCAAATCTGAGGAGAGAGGAAACGAGGAAGCAGTCCAAGTGATTAAGAAAGCTTTGAGTCAGGTTCTTGTTCATTACTACCCTCTTGCTGGACGTCTTACCATAAGTCCTGAAGGTAAATGATTAAAGACAATTAATGATCACTTAGGTTTCAGTCTCTGTCGATATTTAAACTCAGACAACAACATCAGTTAATGTCTTTAATGGTTTGTAAATTCAGGTAAACTCACAGTGGACTGTACGGAAGAAGGAGTTGTGTTTGTGGAAGCAGAAGCAAACTGTAAAATGGATGAGATCGGTGACATCACGAAACCGGACCCTGAAACTCTAGGGAAACTTGTCTACGATGTTGTTGACGCTAAAAACATTCTTGAAATTCCTCCTGTTACTGCTCAGGTTTAGTTTTCTTTCTCCTCAAGTAACTTTTTGTTGTTGTTTTTGTATTTAGGGTTTAAAGAGTTGAGATCTGATTTGTTAGGGTTTTTATATAGGTGACAAAATTCAAGTGTGGAGGGTTTGTTCTTGGACTCTGTATGAATCACTGTATGTTTGATGGTATTGGAGCTATGGAGTTTGTTAACTCATGGGGTCAAGTCGCTAGAGGCTTACCATTAACAACTCCTCCATTCTCAGACAGAACCATTCTCAGTGCTCGTAACCCTCCAATGATCGAGAATCTTCACCAGGAATTCGAAGAGATTGAAGATAAATCCAACATCAACTCTCTTTACACCAAAGAGCCAACTCTCTACAGATCCTTCTGCTTTGATCCAGACAAAATCAAGAAACTTAAGATCCAAGCAACAGAGAACAGTGAATCTCTTCTAGGTAATAGCTGCACAACTTTTGAGGCTTTATCTGCTTTTGTCTGGAGAGCAAGAACCAAGTCATTGAAGATGTTGACTGATCAGAAAACGAAGCTTCTCTTTGCCGTCGATGGTAGAGCCAAGTTTGAGCCTCAATTGCCAAAAGGGTATTTTGGGAATGGAATTGTTCTCACAAACTCTATCTGTGAAGCTGGAGAGCTAACCGAGAAACCGTTGAGTTTCGCTGTTGGATTAGTCAGAGAAGCGATTAAGATGGTCACTGATGGATACATGAGATCTGCGATTGATTACTTCGAAGTCACAAGAGCAAGACCTTCTCTTTCCTCGACTCTTCTGATAACAACATGGTCAAGATTGGGTTTTCATACCACAGATTTCGGTTGGGGAGAACCGGTTTTGTCCGGTCCAGTAGCTTTACCTGAGAAAGAAGTGACACTGTTTTTGTCTCATGGAGAACAGAGGAGAAGCATCAATGTGCTTCTTGGGCTTCCTACTTCAGCCATGGATGTGTTTCAAGAACAGTTTTTACAGATATAATATTGAAAAAGACAAAAAAAAGACAAATATCTGGCAATTATTGTCAGAAAACTTTTCGTTTTACTCTGTTTTCTCGCTTCCTTTGTTTTTTTTTTCTGCTGAATTATTATTATTATCTTGATCTTAATCTTGTCTGATATCTTGCATCAAGTTTCAACCATAAATTTATATTATTTCAACGATATTGTAAAATTTCTATATTATTACTTGATTTGTTTTTGGAATGTTGAGGCCTTTTTTGTTCAAAACTAGATATTTTATATAAATAAGCTGTCTAAACGAAGTCCAAAGAAAAAAAACAGAGGATAAGAAGACAGAACACAGTAATTTTGTCTGAAGCACATAGTTAGAGTAGAAACGAACAGTGACTTTGGCAATTTCTTTTCTATTGCTTGCCACACAAGTCAAGATTCTTCTTAAACGGTCTGAAATTCAAAGCTGTAAACCCATAGACACAGAGATTAGACCTCTTGGACTTAAACACAACCTGATCCGTTGTAGTTTTGTAGCCAGGAACATTGCAGGAATCCGAGGAGCTACCAATCAAGCTTGCCTGACAAGAAGCCATAAGAGAACCTTTATCTGCTTCTGCGGCGCAAGCAACGCCTTCTAGAGACGTTATATCTAGCTTGTAGAGTCCGAGCTCGTTCGTTGTTCGATTTGCAGAGAACGTTATCATCTCTCTAGTTCTTGACGAAGCAGCATTGAATCTGCAGATTATTCTCACTTCCACACCTGTTTTTGTTCAGCTGAAACAAAAGTGAGAGACATTTCAACTTGGATCTAACAATTTTGAGAAATTTTGATTTGTTTCTTTACCGGGCATGAAGTAGTTGTGTTTGGAGAAACTGTTGTTAGAGCAGACGTCGCAGTAAACAAGACCCATTACAGTGATCTTTGCATTTGGTTTCGATGAAGACTGTCTCAGAGAAAGAGAGTTCAAGGCCAGAAGTTGCAGAAGTAACATAAGCACTATCAGTTTCTTTTTCATGACTACAAGCTTCAGCTTTTTCTTTTATTTTGGATAAACAATTGGTTAAAGATGAGGTTTCCTTTTTGTTTATGTGGTTGATGGAAGAAACAGACAAAGCATAGGCTAAGAGGTAAAAGACAAAAGAACAAACAAAGATCAGACAAGAAGAGGCATAAAATCTATTGAAACAAAGCTTCAAGGTTGTGTTATTCTTATATACAGAAAACTCTTGTGAGCAACAAAGAGATGAGCAAAGAGAGAAGCTTCTGGAGTGAAGGTTATAAATGAATGATAGAGAGAGGAATTAAAGGAAAAGTAGAGAAACTGAGAGGTTGGTTGTGTGTTTTTACATTTATTGAGCTCTCATGATTTCTGTTTTAAGGGTTTTTGTCTATGAATCTCAAAGAAATGGCTATATCTGGAAATATAGAATGGAGAAGGTAAGCCACTTGTGTGTGTATGTTTATTTATGGACCACTGAAAGTGAAGTGTAGCCATTATCAATTTATCATCATAAAATCCACGAAAGATGTCAGAAGAAATGGCTCTTTAGATATCATTAATACAAGAAGCCAAATTAACCAAAAATAGAAAAAAAAAAAAAAACATATGAAGCCAAATACACTATGATATTTTCCCGGTTAAGTCTCGGTTTTTGCTGGTATCAATTTATCATCATAAACACCAAGAAAGTTGTCAGAAGAAATGACTCTTTAGATATCATCAATACGAGAAGCCATATTAACCCCACTCCCCCCCCCCCCCCAAAAAAAACACACACACACACATGAAGCCAATACTATGATAATTTCCCGGTTAAGTGTCGGTTTTGGCTGAATTCTGATACAGAATTTCAGGTTTAAGGTACCATTCAAAAATGAATAAAACCATATTGCCTTATCTGTTCTTTAGTGGCTTCAAATAAAACTCAGAAAAGCTCATCAAAGTCTTTAGATTTATTGGAGTAGGAGACTTTTTACGTTGTTCATCACATTTTAGAACACTTGTAACTTGTATGAGATTCACATTAGGAGTGTGTTTTATTCTCTCAAATATAACCTAAAACCTTACTAATCGATTGAATCAAGAAAAAAATTTTAAAAGGGGGATTGAAAAAAATTAGTAAGAAAACCACAAGGGGGGTCAAATAATTCAAAACCAATATGCATAAACTAGCAGAGCAGTCAGTAACTAGAATAACTGATAACGATTTATGACACAACAAAATTTGGCATGATCTCTCATTTCCATTTCAATATTAGAAAATTCCATATAAAATCTTCAACTTAATTTTAATAAGCTTTTTAAATCCTCAACTTTTCATGTGTCCAGAAAAAACTTCAGGCATTTTTCTATCCATTTTAAATTGCCAATTGTTATCCATGTGATCATTTTGCTTTCAATTTTTTTGGAGATTTTGCTTCAATTTTGTCGAGATTTAGTTTATATCAAGTTTTATGTAAATCATTGCTTAATCACGACGAGTTACTGTAGTTCGTTTATTAACGAGATTCGAACAGCGTTCCAATTTTCATTTAGTGTCGTTTTGTATACAGTGTAAACTAATTATAAAGATAACAATTGAGGATTTGAAATGGGTAGAAAAATATTTAAAGTTTTTTTTGGACACACGAAAAGTTAAAAATTTAAAAAATTTATTGAAATTAAGTTGAAGATTTTATATGAAATTTTCTCTTTCAATAATGAGCTCTATCTCGTGTAATTTACGCATCTCGAACTAACTCTTATATGTTTATATAATAACTCAGCTTGAAAGTTATTATATAAATACTCGCATATACGGAGTAACGCAATACGGCGTCGCCATGATTGCTGCAATGCAGCTGAAAGCCTAAAGGTTTATTTATGATATTTGCCCGGTTAAGTCTCGGTTTTAGTTGAGTTCTGGTAGACAATTTCAGGTTTAAGGTACCACTCAAAAATGAAGAAAAACCATAAGAGATAATGTCAGAAAGAAAAAACAGGTATTGGTAATGGTATGATCTGTTCTTTAGTGGCTTCAAACAAAACACAGAAAATCTCATCAAAGTCTTTAGATTTTTGGAGATGGAGAATTTTGTAATTTATTGGAACAGTTGTATAATATTCACATCAGGAGTGTGTTTTAATCTCTCAAATAACCATAATAACCACAGTAATCTATTCAGTTTAAAAGAAAATTTCAAAATCTCTACTAATATTCCATATAAAGAAATTATGCAATACGAAATTGCACAAAAATCAAAAGGACCAGTCAGTGTCGCCATGATTGCTACAATGCATCTGAAACCCTAAAGATTTTATAATGAAATAATGAAGCCAAATCGTTTTCATTATCAATAAGTAGCCAAGCCATTCTTAATTATATATATATGACAACAACAATTATCATTTATAAACAATAGCCATTTCAAAATAAAGAGAAAACAATGAATATAAAATACCAGTTAAAGAGGTGACCTTCCTTTTAGTTAAATATTAAGACAAGTACATGATTGAAAACATGAAAAAAAAATATTTAATGAAAAAGACGGCAATGCACAATAGTGGCGACATTATGAACTTGGGAAAACCAGAAAGAAGAGAGCATATATGGATTAAACAAGTTTAACAAAGTTGCAAAATTTTGAATATAAATAGATCACAACACCTATGGATTTG